CGGGCTGGAGAACCTAGTGTGAGAGCATGGCTACAGAACCTGGCTGGAGAACCTGGAGAACCTGGCTGGAGAACCTAGCAAGAGAACATGGACACAGTACTTGGCTGGAGATTGTGGCTAGAGATCCTGGCAAGGCTGCTGATCAACTGAACGCTGTCTCCGTGTCATTCCTTCTTCGCCGACTCCGTCCACACCTTTGGGGATCCCTGGACCTGCTGGGGTTGGACCCCAGCACTAGAGGCCCAGTGCACGAATTCATGCATCAGTGGGGTCCCTCGGCCTGGCCTGCGGGATCGGGCAAAAACTGGGTCTTCAACATCCCTCGAGGAGTTCTGGATTGCGAGAGGGCACAGGCCAGGCTGAGGGACCCCACCAGTGCCCGATTGGGGCCGGGGAGAGACGCAGGAGGTTGGCCAGCTGGGGAGGGACTGCAGGAGGGCTCCAGGGTGTGTCCGGCCATTCTCGCTCAGTCCCGATCAGCTGAACCCCAGCAGCAAGCTAACCTACTGGTTAGAGCTTCTGCCCCCCTGGTGGTCAGTGCACATCATAGCAACTGGTTGACTGTCCCCTGGTGATCAGTGCACATCATAGTGAGTGGTTGAGCAGCCTTAGCATATCATTAGCATATTATGCTTTGATTGGTTGAATGGATGACCAGACACTTGGCATATTAGGCTTTTATTATATAGGATTTTTTATTGAGGAGGGAGGGAGGGAGTTAGGAAGTGTGTGTTAGTATTTTATTGTTAGCACTTGGTTACAAAGCTACTAAAGGAGTGGTCTTCTTAGCCATGTTTACCCAGCATATGAGGTTATTCAGGAATGCACATGTTGTATTATAGTAGAAATGCCTTTACATTCATTATTTTAACACGTACGCGGGAAACGTATTTATACGTTTTACTTATACGTTTTACGTTGACTGGTAGTAGAGCGCGGGACATGTATTAATACGTGTTTTATAGACTAGCGGTAGAATGTGGGTAACGTATAAATACGTAAACTAAAGTTATCGTAATTTTAATGAATGTCGCCATTTGTGCAAAAAATTAGCAAAAATGGCCCGCGCCACCTGTTAGCATGCCATAAAAACTATCCACCAACAATGTGTTAATTACAAGAGGAACCTGAGGTCTCCCATGAGAAATGGGCAAGGACACAATTCACAAAGCATAGGGACAGGGACAGGTACAGAGACACACGCATTGCAGGATGTGGCTGACAATGAGGCAGCAGAACTGAGGAAGAGTATT